GTTTTCTCTACACCTCTCATTTCCCCACAACGGTCAAACAGCTCTCGAATCTGAGACTCTTTGCTCTGCTCAAGTCACACAAAGATCACCACTGGCTTAAGAACTCATGTTTTACCCTGCCAAAATATTGTGGTGATGAAGTATGCCTTTTCACAGCACTCTGAAGGGAAGCTGTTATATTTGGCCTGCCTATATAACATCCTTCCTTTTGGATTCAAAGATGCTTCAGGTAATTTGGGTCTCTGGGCTGGAGAACAGAAATTTTCTGGACAGAGAAGCCATTTCGCTGTTCATCTATAAACTTTTTCTGCTGATTTTAAAAAACATATAGTGGTACTGTAATGCTATTCTCTTCCTTCCTCGTGGCCTTCTGCAGATTCTTTTGATCCCGGCAGTTATCGATTTTGATCGCTGTAGGGAGGCACTGAGACACATGCTGTTGAAATCCGGCAATATTCCATTGCTTTCAGGCGTCGTGAGCCGCTGAGGTCTTGGTGCATCACATGAGGTGTGCTGGATGGTGTCTCTGGAAGCTCCTGGGTCCTAATTAACCAGAGGAACCAGGGGACTGTAGCAGATGAGTTAATAGATCTGAGATGGGCAGGGAGATAAATCTTAGGAGTGGCATCAGTTTAGGGGCATATATAACTATTTTTAAATATCTCAAATTAAAAAAAAGCTTTGGGTAACTGGGGTTGTATTATTAAAGTTAGAATACATTGTACTCCTCTCTCTACCCCTTAGGGAGGGGAGAAATGGTGCGTTTACCCTTTACGTGTCTGGCTGTGCATATTTATGGAGGAACCCCAATCGTGAAAACAACGTTATAGAGAATATTCATGAGATGCAGTAGCTATCTTTTTGCCCGGTCGTTGGTTGTGCATGAAGTGTGTTAATAGATCTAAGTCAGGAAAGGGGTGTAAATCTTAGGAGTGGCATCAGTTTAGGGGCATAAATAACTAATCATTTTACATTTAAAAGGTGCTTTGAGGTAATTGTGTGTTGATTGGGTACACGATAAATATGATATGTCTGTGGTGTTTCTCTCGAGTATTTTTAATAAATGCATCAAAGACTGAGTTGAAAAATGTGACCCTGCATTTTGCCACTAGTAATGACAGTGTTAAGGAATAGGTTAAATAATGGTTAAATGTCCATTTCATTGTTATTATCATACCGCATTATAGGTTATACTATGTTGCCTTCTTATTTCTTGTATCCAGCTTCATTTATACCCAATTAAAAGTGCGGCATTTCCCCAGAGCAAATCAAAGGTGGGAGAAGTAATGTATCGTTAAATGTAACGTTAACTATGCATATGAAATTCCTTGACATTTTCAAGTTGATAATGGCCTGACCTTGCAGGTAGTTCTGAGGGCGGGCTGGGGTGGCGGGGGGGGGCAGGTGCCACATCAGATTTTTAGACTTGCATTGAATGAAACGGTTGGGTTGCAAACCATCGGCAACAGATTGTGGGGCTCGTCGGGAAGATCGTGTATGATAGGCTTTGGCGGATTATCCGCAGAGGCAAACAGGTATAGCTGTTGAAGCATAATTTATCAAATGGCTGAAGATATAAGAGGAAACCAAATGTCCTTAGGGGGGAAAGAAAGGTGTCTTTACCTTATCTAGCTGTGCACTTTTATGGAAATGGACCACAAATAACATAACAGAGAATATTCATGAGGTGGAACAGCACTGTCCTGCTCTGCTTTCAGCTGTAGGTATGTTTTCATTGCTTTATAGAGTGAGTTGGAGTGAGAATTTGTTCCTAGAATGATAAATTATTATTATTATTGTACCCCTAGTCTTTCCAAACACCAACAAAATTCACAAACTTTGTTTTGTTTTTTGTCTAACAACAGTGCAGATTGTGTTTTGGCATTACATGAAACATCAGATGGTGATTCGACCATAATGCATGTGGCGAGTCTTCAGCTCTGTCTCCCAATATTTTTGGTCTTTGCAAAGCAAATTACAAATATTATGGAATGTCCTCCAGGAAATGCCCATGCAGGGCTGATGTCTGGAAAGTGTTTTCTAGCGTTTGTAAGTCCGTGTCTAATGCTGGATTTTGCTGGAATCCTTCAAGAGCAGGTCCTGCTGATGAGGGACAAACTGAAGACAGGGTCACTGATTTGGGGCCTTTTCACCCACAGCTTCCCGTCCTGTGGACAGCGATTTGTGTCTGGGCCTGGTTCCGAACACAACCCAACTGTGTCACATCGCCTGTCCCGTTGAATGCGAGGTGTCCGGCTGGACGGCCTGGGGTCCCTGTACCTTTGAGAACTGCCAGGACCAAGCTGGGAAGAAGGGTAGGAGGCCGTGCGAATGACCATCTACAGGAAACCTTTCTGCATTGTATGTCCTGCAGGTGGAGAGGAGCAGATTCCCGATTTTAAATGAAATGATAAAGGCGCTTTGAGAACAGATGTAATCGCATGTTCACTGGCTGCTTAATGACTTCCTCTGCATTGTTAAGGATTTAGCCTTCTTCTCCCCCTTGGCGAGCTCTGATTTTTCATGCATATTGAATGATCACAGTAAGATGTATGTCTATCATTTCTTGGATAATTATCCCAATTGCCCCCCAGGTCCTAAAAAGAACCCCACCCGCCAAGGTCATCATCTTGGTTCTTCCTAGTAAAATGCCTCTGAATTGCTTTTATTCATTCATTCATTTGTTTATTTATGTTGTGGTGCCTCTAAGATGCGTGCAGAGGGGGGTCTATGCCCTCGGCGATCGCCTCGCAGGGTGCCCGCCCCGGAAGGGCTGTGTGGTGGCTCCGCCTTTGTTTCCGTGGCGACAGTTGGTGCTCGTCCGTCAGCAGGGCGACACGCTTGCCGACTCCGGCGTTAATTATCCCCGGGACGCGGCGCCGCCGCGGTGACTAATGTGTATTAACTCTCCCGTAATGAAGCGACTCAAATGGATGTGGAGAGAGAGAGAGAGAGAGAGAGAGAGAATGATTCTCCACAATGCGTCTTCATAACGGATGCCTCTACCCGGCTCCTACACCCAATGGTCCCACTTAATGGTGCTGAGATTTACAGTATGGGCCTCCGCTGTCCCCAGCGACAGGCACTTAAGGGACACGTGACTTCTCTCCTGGACGATATGTGGAAGCATAAACAGGCGGTGATGTTTTAACACGTGTACAGTGTGCAATTAGCTTCCATCCTCGTCTTTGGCTACTGTGTCCCCCGTGCACTGCCCCCCCCCCACAAAGTCCATCCCAGCCTGCATCCTACTGTGCCTCTGGCCATTTTGGAAGCTCAGAAATCGTCAAAAATAAATTCTCAAAAAGCCCTTCAGGCATCCATTCTGGAAAAAACAGATATTTATAATATTAAACATATTATTTATTAATCCCTGCAATGGACTGGAATCCCATCCAGCGAGATCCCTGCCTTGTCTTTTCTGGGAGAGGCTCCAGGCTTTACTGTGACCCTGTACTGGGTAAGCAGTTATGGGAGATGGATGGATATTATTTATTAATATATGTTATATACATCATTAATAGTTCCTTCTGTTTGTTGTTATGACTGTTAATCTGGAGAGTGGCAGCATTTTGAGATGGTTTTTTTGTAGCCTGTAACCTACACTGGTGAAATCCTCATTCTCTGCAGCGTGAAGGACCCAAATTCGAAGAGCTATAACCAAAAACTCTATTTCTTTTTCCAATCAGACCTGCTGCGTTACTTAAAACTTAATCTGTTTTGGGAAGCCTGACGCCCTTGGTGCTGATGTCTGAGCTCCCTACGTCAGTACAGTGAACTTCCCGCCATTCCAGTTTAAATTCCGCACACTGTCGTCGTTATAAAATGGCTGCCTGGGCTTTTTGTTTGAAAGCCTTTTTTAACGGATAAACGGACAATCCTCGGAGGCTCCTTTCGCACCCCTGCTCCTTATCGTTCCCCTGCAGCAGCGTGGATTAGAGGGCAGGACCGCGGAGGCACCACCTCCTGGGGTCGCGAGCCCCGTTCCCCGCTGAGCTGCCGATCGCACGCCCTTGGGTCTGAGCCCGCGGCAGCGAGAACGCCGCCTGCATTAATGGATTGTGGGACGCATTAGTCACTCTGCTTAAAAGTGTAATGAGGAAGAATAATAATATTCATCAAGTTCAGCTGTTCTGGCAATTTCCACCATCGACCAGTTTAATGGGCTGTCATGGCGAATGCGGCGTCGCAGGCATCGTGAGCGCCACACTGTGGCCGTCAAGTGCATCTGTGTTCAACTCGATTCGGGTGAAAGCAGAACTTTCGGTTTCTCTATCGTGCCCGAAAGGCTTCAAGCTGAGGAAGCGGCAGATTGTCAACGAGCCCACGGGTGGGACGGGGAACTGCCCCCACCTGACGGAGGCCATACCGTGCGAAGAGCCCAGCTGCTACGAGTGGCTGGTGGTGAAGCTGGAGGGGTGTATCCCGGACAACGAGAAGGCATGCGGGCCCGGGACGCAGCTCACGCAGGTCCAGTGCGTCAACAGCGACGGTGAGTAAGCGATTGATGCGCTTTTCCGAAATCCATTTATACCATGGTGTTTGTATAAGGTTATTTGTTATGAGGGTTTTTTTTACTGGGAGTGAGACTGGGAGTGAGACTGTTGACGCCTTGGATGTAGACATAGACCAAAGCAGCTGTCTTTGTCCTGTGGGGGCGGGGGGGGGGGGGGGGGTCAACTGTGCAACCCTGTAGCCCAAGATCACTGTTCGGCACGTGAAGAAACAGTTCATAATTCTCCCACATGTACATGGGCTGGGATCTGAACAGGATTAAGAGGATCATCGAGGTTTTGACGGCTCTCACTGATACCAGACCTTTCTTGAAGGTTGCTGGCTGGCAGTGAAGGCAGTTTACCCGTAATTGCGTCTGGCTGGCGGGAGGCAGCTGTGTAGCAGGGCAGTTACCGCTGGCTGGGTCTGGCCTGTAAGGCCCCAGAGGCTGGGGGGAAGGTTTATGACAGAGACACGACACCTGTTCCCTTCCAAATTACACCGGCAAAGGGAGACCAGAGCCTGGCTTGGGATTCAGAGTCTGTGTGGCACGAGATTTCTGCAGTTTAAGAACACTGCCCATCTGATCCATGCAGGAACCTGCTCATAATGTACATGGTTTACACCTCAGAGCAGCACCCAGAGGGAAAAGCCCAAAACCCAAAAGTCAGTACTTCTACGACTGCCTCATGGGCTTCCACACATGATGCATATGTAGAGAAACACTCCACTTATGCCACGGTGCCCTTTTACCAGTTGCATGTATCCCAGAATGCATTTAGCAAATCAGGTGCCCTAGTGGTTCAGATGATGAAGCATGTCTGGATTTGTTCCTTTGCCGGTATAATTCATCTTCCCGTCCGCTTCATCGCGTGAGAAATCATCGCCACATTCAGCTGTGGGTACACATTCCGGGTGTAAATCCCAATAGGAAAAATGCCATTTGACACTTGGGCAAGATCTTCCAGAGCTGCTAAGTTAATAATTCAAAGGAGACGCAGTACATCCTAAATTAGTCATTTAATTACACATCTTGGACATATGCTGCCTTTCTCAGGTTATTTGTCTGTGGTTTTATTTGCTTATTTTTTGCCCAGAAAAATGGCCATTGCAGTCAGCACCTGAGCCATGGCTGACAGGGGCAGATAATGAGGACCCGGGGGAGGGGGGAGCAGGTTTGTCAGAGGCTCCCTGAAAGCCCATAACCACTGTCAGGTTCTTTCTCGTCCCAGACTGCTCCATCCTGCCCTCTCGGAGGGGGGTCATCTTATTTCCAAGAGCTTCTCACCTGGGACTCAGCATTTCAAATTTTTATTTACCCAATTTTTTTAACCTCATTGGGTTCGGCCAATCCTGGGATGTGTATGTATTTAACTAAAAGCCCAAGCAGAGCCAAGGAGGTGTTCAGTCAGGAGTTAAGCTCGCATATTCCAGATTGTGTAATCTACGGCTGATCAGAATCTAGTCTAGGGTACCAGAACAGCCAGGGCCAGCCCTGATTGAAAGTAACACCTTTCTGCTCAAGGTCACCCCCACCTCACCACCGTGCGTAGGGGGGCTCCAGCCGCCTGCCCCCACTCATCTGCTCATCCATCCATCCGCCCGGCGCATGCCTGATGCAGCCAGTGCCCCTCTGCAAAGCTCTCCCAGCCTCAGACTGCCTCTGCAAAGCACTCCCAGCCTCAGACTGCCTCTGCAAAGCACTCCCAGCCTCAGACTGCCTCTGCAAAGCTCTCCCAGCCTCATACTGCCTCTGCAAAGCTCTCCCAGCCTCACACTGCTTCTGCAAAGCACTCCCAGCTCAGACTGCCTCTGCAAAGCACTCCCAGCCTCTGCAAAGCACTCCCAGCCTCAGACTGCCTATTTTACATCCCAGTCTTTTGGGACGGAACGTGTCCTGAAAAGCTCTGGAATTGATTTATTGGGGAATTTCCCAAATTATTCATCCCTGCTCTCCCTCCCTCTTACCTGCTTCCGGTTGTCCCTCTGCACCCTGAACCTTCAAGCTGCTGTGCTGTGCTGTCAGACGGGCTCCAAACACCCAAAAATAATACCAGCAGGGGTCAGCATGTCTCAGCGTGGCTCAGAGCTACCCTAGGGGCACCCGAAAGCAGCTGGGAGGGGCATCAGCACACCCAGGCCTTGGTGTAAACCTGTCCTTGGCCTCCCAGTTAGCCACATGCACCCCCAACGTGGGGCAAACCCACAATTTTGCAGGGGTTGATTGTGGGAACCACACAGAGCGCCATTATAAGCTCCGGTACCATGGAATTAGAAGCCGCTCATTTGACAGTTAAGGGCCCATTAAGTATGAATGGGCCAGTGAGGCGTTGCAGCTCCTCTGTAAATTTTAGGGGAGCATTTAAAGTGAATTAACGGTAATTTGCCTGATCGTTATGCCACTCGGTCCACGTTTGGAAGATCGGGACCCTAAGCTTGCATCTTAATCCTTAAATGCCAGCATCAATAAAACCCACGGGAACTCTGTTTAATTTGGGCTCCTTCTGGTTCAGCCATGCCTGGATAATTAAACAGGGCGATACCTAGTAAACCTGCGGCTAAATGAGTAACACTGTGGTCTCCTAAAGTCCTGCTTGTCAGTTTGATCCTGCCCTAGTGTGTATATGAGTGTGCATGTTTTGTTCATGTCTGATTTGGCTTCTTCCAGGAACTCTGATTTAGCTCATGGGAGTTTTACGTACGCTAACATATTCTGAGGGCAAAATGAAAAAATGATGGTTCTTTCTCTAAGCCAATCAGATTGTAGAGGAGGTGGGTCCAAGCAACTAGAGGAGGCAGGACCAACCAATCAAATGTATTGGTCCCGCCTCCTCTAGTCACTTGGACCCACCTCCTCTACAATTTGATTGGTTATTTTTCTGAACCAATTACTTTTCGTTTTGCCCTCAGAACATTTCTATGTAAGTAAAACTCTCATGAGCTCTGATTTATCGTCATGGTCCAAAAGGCCATGTTAGTTGACTGTTGACTACAGTGTGTGCTCTGTGATGGGCTGGCATCTCATCTTAGGTGTCTTAGCTGCAGGCTCATGGTCTGGAAGGTGGGCAATTGGATTACCTAATAAGCAAGATCTTCTAAAATGCTGCACTGAATTTTGGGGCAGAGGTTGTAATGCTATGTGCTGGATTGAAGCTGAGGGTCTCCCCGTTCTTCAGGAGAGCCAGCAGAAAGGGAGCACTGCATGGATGCCATTCTGCCCATGCCTGTGATGTGTGACGTCCCGTGTCCCAAGGACTGCGCACTCAGCCCCTGGACAGCCTGGTCCCCGTGCTCGCATACCTGCTCTGGGAAAACCACAGAGGGTCGTCAGACCAGGGCGAGATCCATCCTGGCTTACAATGCTGGGGAAGGTGAGCAAGGCGCCCCCTGCTGTTCAGACATTATACTCATCTCGCATTCTTAATCTTCTTTTTCTTGACTTCACCTTTATTTCTTTGCAGTTTGTTACTTTTATCACATCTCTATGTCCTTTATCTCTTATCAGCTCTCAGATATTCTTGTGACCCATATTACATTTTTCCTGTACTTTAATCTCTCTGCATAAAGGGTATCATTGTTGTGCTGCCCTCCTGTTCCTAGCGTGGGTCCCAGAGAGGCAAGGCACTGACGCCTTCTAGTTCACTGATGCATCTGTATTTGCTATCTAAACACATACATTTTAGATCAGTTACGGAAGTATCTGATGCAATGGTTACATTTGTGTGGTTTGTGGACTTGATATGGTGAATCACACAGCTGGTTTGGATCTAGGATGTGTCTGTACTTTATTTAACAGTAGGCAAGCCATGTAAGGTAAAAAGTGTAAGAGGAGTTTAACATGCCCGTCATATTGTAGACATTTCAATAGTGCCATTTGCCTATGGGTGCTATTGCCAATAAGCATGATCTCCCCTACAGGGAAAACAGAAAAAGCCCAACATCAGAGAGCTGGTTGTCAGAACTGAAATATGCATATATTTCAGGTTGGGTTGTATGTGGTTGGCATGTTATTGTGTGTAATTTTAATCTTGGGGGAGGGTTTGTGTCTTGCCCTCGAATAATCAGACACGGGATGCAGAACAAGCCATTTGCAGTCTGAGAAGGGGTAGTGGTTGGTTTGATAGTGCGTCTCGTTAATGAAGGTGCCCCTGGGCCAGATCCTACCTGCAAGTCCGTGTTCCCTGAAAGCGCTTCCCACCAAACCGGCCGCGTAATTGGCCAGCAGCAGCTGTCTCTCTCTGCCGCTCTCCAGCTTGACGTCGCCCGGACCCCCGACTGCTCCGGCCACTGTGTGGTTAGCGTATCTGAGGGGGTAGGGGGGTGGCTCATCCATTATGGATTTCTCCGGGAGTGGATTCACAATTAGAGCCGTGGGGTGAAGGAGCACAGGGCAGTGGAGGCATCCTGGGAGTAGTGATAAGGGGCAGCCCCCCCCCACAACCCCCCAGGAAGCCGGATTGGCTGGATGGTCCAAGTTGGGGATCGTTGTACACCTCAGAGGAGACGGAAACTTCAGCTCCTCATTCCGATCCTCATACACCTCAGAGAAGACGGAAACTTCACCTCCTCATTCTGATCCTCATACACCTCAGAGGAGATGGAAACTTCACCTCCTCATTCTGATCCTCATACACCTCAGAGGAGACGGAAACTTCACCTCCTCATTCCGATCCTCATACACCTCAGAGGAGACGGAAACTTCACATCCTCATTCTGAGCCTCGTACACCTCAGAGGAGATGGAAACTTCAGCTCCTCATTCCGATCCTCATACACCTCAGAGGAGACGGAAACTTCACCTCCTCATTCTGAGCCTCGTACACCTCAGAGAAGACGGAAACTTCACCTCTTCATTCTGATCCTCATACTGTATACCTCAGAGGAGACGGAAACTTCAGCTCTTCATTCTGATCCTCATACACCTCAGAGAAGACGGAAACTTCACCTCCTCATTCTGATCCTCATATACCTCAGAGGAGATCATAACTTCGCCTCCTCATTTTGATCCTCATACACCTCAGAGGAGATCATAACTTCGCCTCCTCATTTTGATCCTCATACANTTTGATCCTCATACACCTCAGAGGAGATCATAACTTCGCCTCCTCATTTTGATCCTCATACACCTCAGAGGAGATCATAACTTCGCCTCCTCATTCTGATCCTCATTATTAGTAATAATATCCTTGCTAATGTAATGCTGTACTTCTTACTCATTGATGATACAAAGTATTATGATCAGAGTATTTAAATACAGCATAATCCTGGGCTTTAACTGACAGCTTTAATTATGTATTTAATTATGTTTGTGTTACAGTAAAACAAAACTGCAGCAGTGATTCCTCTATGTGTAGCAATAGAATGTTTCCCCTTTTCTCACCCTGGATGTGAGAGACCTTGTTTACGTGTGGCTCAGCTGTTACTACAGATCACAAATTGATCAGCGCCCGTCTGCCAATTACGGCCGAGGAGGTGATGAGCGAGCCGCCGGAGGCACCACGTTGCCGATGGCGACAGCCACTGTTAATGACGGCGTACCGTGGGGGAGATGGGCACCTGCTGGCCACCTGAGGTCTGTGAAGTGCCCATGCCCGTCAAACCGGCCATCAGATATAAATCCTTCCCTCTTGGAACTAAACAGCTGAACTAATTTCAGCTTTGCGTTGTTGCTAGGTAACCACTTAACTGTTTTCTTTTTAATCAAAGTCGCCAATATCAAGCCTGTTTCCCTAGGAAACACTCCTCCGAGAATACCCAGGCACGCTAATGTCATTTATGAATATTCAGCATCTCCATCCTGGTTGGACAGACATCATTCTAACTCAGTTAAAATGAGAGCCACCCAAGTATTAAAATCAGCAGGTTATGCTTTTTCAGCCAATGATCACTGTGAAAGAACACTGACAGTATTTCTCAATCCTCTGTTCTCAAGTTTTCTATTCCCGTCAGCTCTATGTGAAAATATTCTGAGACTGAAATAGAAGCCTGGTTTCAAGTAGATTTGTGTCTACAAATCACAGCATTTCGTGTGGATGTACGGGCCTCTTCTCCATATGGGACACCCCCCTCTCGGTGCTGGCCGGATCTTTTTGGATGATAAAAACAGCACGGCCCACTCCCCTTGAGTTGAATGGTCCCTGGCTCTACCCCCTTCTAGATGCCAATGCAAATGCAGAAGCTTCTGGCTCCCAGACATGCTGAAGGATTAATGCAGGGTGGGGGGTTTGCAGCGAGGGATGTGATAGGTTCCCCCGACACGGCTGACATCCAAGCAGGAGGGCAGCAGGGCTACAGTAATGAAAAGGAGAGCATAGCAGGGAGAATTAGTTATGTCCACGGTCTTTGGCATGGAAAAAACGACTTTTTGGCTGAGAGATAAAGCACATGAAAGTCCAATTGGCACAAGGGAGAAGATTAATCGGGGCATGATGGGATAGTGGAAGAAATATGAAACAGAAGTAGAGTGTAGCAGAGGATTATGGGAGGAGGGTGGCCCAAAGCCAGGTAGGCCAGTGATTGGTGCCCGCGGCCTGTGGTCTTCCCGCACAGGGGGGGCAGCGTGTCCCAACAGCAGCGCCCTGCAGGAGGTGCGGAGCTGCAACGAGCACCCGTGCACTGTGTACCACTGGCAGACGGGCCTCTGGGGCCCCTGCATCGAAGACTCCTCGGTGTCCTCGCTCAACACCACGGCCAGTCGTAGCCACGAGGCCTCCTGCTCCATCGGCATGCAGACGCGCAAGGTCATCTGTGTGCGGGTCAACGTGGGTCAGGTGCCACCCAAAAAGTAAGCCGGCGGCCTCTCAGGGCCCCTCACCCCCACACTAAATACCCATTACATGTCATTCTCTTGTCCTCGCTTAAGTGTTGTCGTCCCTTCACCTAGAAGTATTCCGGTCCTGCATTTCCTCTTACATCAGGATGGACTTGGGGCTTTCAGGGTCGCAGGTGATCACCTAAACATCTGTGTTCCTGCCACAGACCATCTGTCGGGCAGGACGTTCATCTTCACTCCCCCCCCTGCGCATGCAGAATACGGGCAGCTTCCCCACCTGGCTGCAGCAAAGCTTTATACCCGGACCACAAGGAATGTTCCAGAAAGGCCCCTCTGCCTTCCCCAAGCCGGGGGATAACTTGGAGAGCTCACACCCCCCCCCCCTAGTTTTTAGTTCACACTGAGAAAGATCTATGAAAAAGCCCTTAACATGTGGTCCCACACCTCAAACCAACCTGCATCATTACCCATTTTCCATGACGGTCTTTGGCAGGCTGTTAATATCTCGACATGCCTCTCACAGGTGTCCTGAGAGCCTTCGGCCCGAGACGGTGAGGCCATGTCTGCTCCCGTGTAAGAGGGACTGTGTGGTCACTCCCTACAGCGAGTGGACAGCCTGCCCATCCTCCTGCCAAGCAGGTACGCCCGAGACATCTGCTGTGTCCGTTGGCCTCTCTTTGCCGTGAGTCCGCATATCAGCTTACTAAAAGCTGCAGGTCATTCGCTTGCATTAACTATTAGTAACTGATACGTTCTCGGAATTATTCAGCTAGTCACACGTCCCCACCATTAATTCCCCCGCTGCTGAATGTATTCAAAACAATAATTTCTGATTTGCTGGTCACAGTTTCTGGCGTAAAGAGAATTTCATTTGTCAGGGTTGCTAGGCAACTGCTTTTTTTAACGGCAAATTTGGTGATGGACAAAACAGGTGAGTGAGTATTGGGAAGTCTCTTCCTGTTCTACTGAGACCCTCAAATCACTCTCCTCAAGAGACACTCTTTCTTGCTGGCATAGGATTCCCTAAAGAGAGCTTGCGTGGGAATCAGTTTGCCATAATTTTTCAACTTACGTAATTCATCACCTCAAATCTTGGCATGGACATTATCTGCCCTTAATAAATCGCTGTTCTAGCAAGGATGACGGCCAAGCTGAGCGAGAAAGAAAAAGCCAGCTTCCTGTAAATCGAATGAGCCGTGTGTCATGTCCAGCCTGATGGATATAGGAGTTGATCAATAAGCTCTGGTCAACGTGCTTCACCCAGCTCTCTAGCCTGTGTGGGCATTTGAAAATATATCTTTGTTACAGTGGCTTCGCGATTTTCACTGCAAGAAGGTCTGATTCGGCAAATTATGCGACACAGAGAAGGTTTGCAAACAAATCAGAATTAATGGGTATAAAAACCTGCCTTTGACCATTGATGTAATTCAGTCTAGATTAATTGCTTTCCCTCAAAGTATATATTGTGTTACATATGTCGTATATTTTCGAGGTGTAAATATGTTTGTCAGCATGGTGCATATGATTAGGAATAACTGTAGTGTGATGTTTAGCAGGCAGGGCGCTCTATGGGCTCTGTCGCTGACTGGTGTTCTGGTATTCAGGAGGGAGCCTGAAGAGGAAGCAGTCTCGCAAACGCATCACCCTGCAGCTGCCGGCCAATGGGGGTCAGGACTGTCCCGAGGTGCTTTATCAGGAGCGGGACTGCGAGACGCCGTCTGTGTGCCCCGGGTTCAGGTACGTGTGACCCGCCTCCTGTCTGTCGCTGATGCCAGCCCCGCTGGGCTGCGTTTGCTTGCATGGATCCTCAGCCACGTTCCCGCGGCAGGTGGAAGACCCACAAGTGGAGGCGATGCCAGCTGGTGCCGTGGCAAATCCGTCAGGACAGCCCGGGTGCCCAGGAGACCTGCGGACCGGGCCTGCAGATACGAGGTGATGTACGGTCATGTCCCATACAGCTGATCTGTACGCATCCTGTCTGAAGTAAGAGGAGGTCATATTTAAGGTCTAAAACAGTGTTTCCTGATCCATGTTTTTAGGGTCCCTGAGGACTGGATTAGGATTCATACTTAAACCTAAACAATGTTGTAACTTAGTCAGGTAATACGGCAGAGTTTATCGGGGCAGTTTCTCCTAAGTGCCTCGTTTAAGCGTTCACCACCCGACACTTCAGCTTCCAATGGGTGCTTTCAGGTTTCTGAGAAACTGGTTCAGAAACGGTGGGGAAAGCCTGAGGGCCCTTGTGCTGCGATGCCTCATGACATATCAGCAGATACCTTTCAATGCTCATTTTTGCAGTTAATTACAGTTCTATTTACAAATCATAGTGAATAAACTTGTGAAATATACTTGAAAGGAAGACGAACGCCATACACACTATGCAGCAGGGGCACCACAGAGAGGGCGGGACTTAGGGCGATTCTAAGGGCTCCTCGGTGATGGCGCCTAAAAAACTGCAACATAAATGGATTGGTCTGGGTTGGGGGTCCAATATGGTGAAATCCCTAGTGGTGCCCCTGCTGCCCAGCATGCCTCAGTCCCACATAAGGTATTAATTATCCTCCTGTTCTTAACCGGCATTTACTGTTCACCCTAAAGGTGGCCCAGTCACCACAAAGAGTCTTGTTGCAATAATCATGAAATGGCGGTGAGCCCGAGGCTAGCAGAGCTGACAGTGGTCGGTGCTGAGGCGTCTAGCAGGTCACGGCGAGGCCATTAGAGGAACCGAAGTGGTGTGTCTAAGGTGCCCCGGTTCTGGCGTGTCACTCGCTGTGGACCAGGGCTGAGGGGAGCAGCTAGGGAGGCAGAATCGTGGGCAAATTATGAGGTGGGTTTTTAGTGGTAGAGAACCTCAACGAGCTCTGAGCTTTTTGACAAAGAGTAACAGCGGTCATTACGAGCTAGTGTTCCGAACTCGAGTGACATTACCGGTAACAGTACACCCTTCATACACACTCAGCCAGGGGGCAATCGGATCCAGAGCTTTTATTCGTCTCTCACTGACATTTCTCCATGCCCATTTGGTTGATGCTCAATACGAATTACGCCCACGCTGGCAGTAAATCACCTGTTCCAGCAAGTGATGTCACTTACCCGACACCAATTACCGATCCACAGATTTACACATACTTATTCTACTTACAGTATGGCAGTTTTTACCCTGTAGGATACATCCTCTGGCGAGTTTCAGTAGAAGTTAAAGTCAACATCAACCCCTTGTCAGGCACTCCTGTTGAATAAAAGTGACTTTCTTTGATTGGGTCATGTGATATCAGCCAATTTCCCAGCCAATACAGGAAATGTTTTGCCCACGATTCAGGAGAAAACAGGCATTAGGCAAAGGATGATGATGAAAATTAAATCCTTCCTAGCTGAAGCCTACGAGGGTCGACTAATCAGCTGTGTTCTCAACAAAGGTGTCCGAAGGATGCTGCAGCGCCACTCTCAAAAGATAAACAACAGTGGGAAATTAATTTTACCATGCAATGTAAATGTCGTACGGCCAGCAAGGCTAAATCGTCTGTGATGTTCAGCAGGAGTAATCATATTGTAATCAGGGAATTTATTTTTTCTGTACTGTTTTTGTCGTCATATTTCTACCCATTGAGAATGTCCAAAATAACTGAAAGTGCCTCCCGCCTTTGCCACGCCCCCCCCCCCCCCAACAGCTGTCTCTTGTAGGAAGCAGGACGGAGGGCAGGTGGACATCGGGGAGTGTCTGAGCTTCTCCAGTCCCATGCCACCCATCACCCAGCCCTGCCAGGTCCCATGCCAGGACGACTGCCAGCTCGCCAGCTGGTCCAAGTTCTCGCCCTGCTCCGCGGACTGCGGCGGCGTCAGGACCCGGAAGAGGGCGCTCGTTGGTACGGGACTGCATGCAATTTACATTCACTGAGGGATGGAGTCACACTGGGATCTAAAAAGACTTTCAAACTCTTAATTGCAGCACCTTGCAGTACATTCACATCTTGCCTTAATCTACATACAAGTTTAATATGGCATCAAGGGATGAACTCTCTGTGCGGTTTGTTTACAGAATCCACCATTAACTTTCACTAATGAGAATGAATGCCAGCAAAGAACACCAGCTGCTATCATGTCCTACTATTTGTGGGAATTGTCTATTTAGGAGAAAAGCGAGTTAAATCTAATTTGTTAATTACAAGTTTCCTGGCAATTTGCTTGAGATCATCTTATTGGCTCGTGTGTCTAGTTAAGAGGTTTCCATTGTGTGTCCTTATAGTTGTCTTTAGCATGGATTAGAGATTAAGCATTGTGAAGATAATGGGTCTCATGATGGATTTAAACCTGCATCCTTACTAAAAAGTCAGCAGTGTGTAGGGGCCCAGATAGTGAGCCATGGTGAACACCTATGGTATTAGAGCCAAGACCAAGATTCTCCAGCTAAATATACTGAAGCTACCAGAGGAAACTCAGTCTAGAACAGGCAATTATTGTGAATTTTGGTTCAGTACTTAGTGCATAATGCTGTCAAGATATGTAAGATTATTAAGATTATGAGGGAGTCCACCTCACCTCTGTGAAACGCATCGGGAACCACATATCAGGCACATAATGAACATAACCCTTACAAAAGAGAAAGGTCTCATAAAAGTCTTTGTAAATTAATGTAACATTCTTACATTAAGTCATTACTGGAAAATTGTCACACAGATTTATCATAATTTTGATTTGCAGTCTGACTGTTTGCCCCTCTCCCCTGTTTTCTTGGTTACACACTTAGGGAAGAGCAAGAAGAAAGACCAGTGCAGGAACACGCAGCTGTACCCCCTGAGCGAGACGCAGTACTGCCCCTGTGACAAATACAATGCACAGCCCGTGGGGAATTGGTCTGACTGCATCCTGCCTGAGAGCGGCCGTGTGGAGGGCATCCTGGGAATGAAGATCCAGGGAGACATCAAAGAGTGCGGCCAGGGCCACCGCTACCAGGCCATGGCCTGCTATGACCAGAACAGCAGGCTGGTGGAGACGTCCCGCTGCAACAGCCATGGTGGGTGTACAAATAGCTGTGTTTTACCCATAATACATCACTGTACCAAGGAATAACTATAAAACAACCATATACAGACCATGTTTAATTTCAGTTTATGTTGTAAAATGCCCATTGTGGTGGTGAACAGAGCTACCCAATAGGATGAGAGGGGGTCCCAGGGGTTACTTGACATCATCCTTCCTGGGACTTTGCCCCATCTTGCATACTGAAAGGCAGAAAAACCTTTTCCTCCGTGAGGAAACTGGTTAAACATTGAAGCTGAAGAATTATGCAAAATATATGCATTTATTCAAATAATGGTGAGAGAAAACAGCAAGGCGGCTCCCTGCAGGATGCTGCAGGACTGCAGGACACCGCAGGGCTGACAGACACTCAGACTTAACCGAGCATTTTACCCGTTCCCTCGGAACAGGTGGGCCGTAAACATTTAACAGTCAGGCTTTATTAGGCGTACAGATAATCTTCAGGGGCACCGGAAGAATAACATGAAGCAGTAAATGGTCCAGATCAGACGGATAAACATTCCTAGACTAATTATACATTTTTATTCTTTGATTTTAGTTTGTGAATTTTATCAAAATATAGCTAAAACTGTGCCATTGTGAATCTGTGCTGCTCAGCACTGTTTCAGGTCACTGTTGTTGGAAACCTAGTACTGTATGCTAACCCTAACCCTAACCCTAACCCTAAACCACAGTTTCAGATGCAGACAGAAGGCTGTGAATTGGTTTCTGGCCGATGTGCTTAAAGTGAGCATGCTCTGTCTCGCGTTGGGGTGGGGTGAGTGGGTAGTGAATTGGACGAGACTGTCAGGTGCTGGGTTTGAGATCAGTGAAGCAGCAAGAAACCTGAATGTAGCCGAGAAGGAAATCTGAAGTGATGTTTAAAGCACTCAGCAGATCGGCCTGCCCTCAGGCTTTCTCTGAGCACCTGATGAGTCCAGAAAGCTGTTTCTCAGGGTATCACCGGTGTGAAGTACGTGTGAAACCTCCCTCTGATCCCCTCCGCAGGCCACATCGAGGAGGCCTGCATCATCCCCTGCCCGTCCGACTGCAAGCTGAGCGCGTGGTCTAGCTGGTCCCGCTGCAGCAAGTCCTGTGGCAGCGGAGTCAAGGTGCGGTCCAAGTGGCTGAGGGAGAAGCCGTACAACGGCGGCCGGCCCTGCCCCAAACTCGACCACGTCAACCAGGTGAAGGACGGGACGTCCCTCCTATGAATGGCCTCACATGAACCCCACAGATGACCCCAAAATGACTGATATCTTTCTTGTGGTTTTACCTGTTAGTGGGAAGTACAGATAGATTTACCTTAAAAGTAGTAAAAATGTAGAAAAAAGAATTAAATGAATGATGAATGAGAAAAATTGCTTTCTTAATTTTTTGATGAATTTGTCATCAATATTTCAAACCAAGACTCTCCGCTCTCTATCTATCCTAAAGTCAGACGGCTAATAGTGATATTTAATTCTTGAACGTTATAGTTGTTTTTCAAGTGTTTCCGTTGATTAATTCCTATACTAATATTTAAACACATACGTGTGGGTATCGTGTGAGTTACTGAATGCATGTCCCGTCGAACGTGATGTACCTGGTTTTGACCGTGATTTCCCTTCTCTGTCATACTGCTGGATGCGCCGTGTGACCCTGTCCTCAGGCCCAGGTAAAGAAGACCAGCCTCCTTCTGGTTTATGAGGAGAGCTGCTGCTTTTCTGTTTAGCTAATCTCACAGTCAGCTTCTAGTTAATGTATTCGGGGGGGGGGGGGTACTGCAAAGCAGAGCACGGGGAATCCTGTTTGGTGTGGCACCGGCCGCCGCCGCTTACTGGGGGGGAAACTTTATCACTTCATTGCCGTCGTTTGTCATCGCAGTCGCTCAGCACGTGTCCCTCTCGCCAGGGGAGGTTAAATTCATCATAGATCCGACTGGTTGCAGACTAGCTTCACTGAGACAGATTAAAACCCCTGCGCTCTAATTTAGGAGAGTAATCCTTGAGGCAGAAGTCGCACACGAAAGCTTAGCATGTGTCCATGTGGAAGTGTAAGTCCCGCCTCCCGCACCCCCCCGGGTCGACAGGTATACGAGGTGGTGCCATGCGTCAGCGACTGCAGTCAGTACGTCTGGGTAGCTGAGCCGTGGAGCGTCTGGAAGGTCAGCAACGTGGACCTGAAGGAGAACTGCGGCGAGGGCGTGCAGACCAGGAAAGTCCGGTATGTCCCTGAGCGTTCCCCCTGGAGAGATGCAATTCATATAGAGGGGCCAACCTTATCATTAGCCAATGATATGGTTCAACTCAGTGAGTGACAGGGGAGGAAGCCAATCAGCTTTCAGCTGAGGCCAGTGCCCCTGTGTTAAGCCTCTCCCTGGGGTCCATCCTGCACAGGTGCATGCTGAACACCATCGATGGCCCGGCGGACCCTGTGGAGGACTACCTGTGTGACCCGGAGGAGATGCCGCTGGGGGCGCGGGAGAGCCGCCTCCCATGCCCAGAGGACTGCGTGCCGTCCGACTGGGAGGCCTGGAGTCGCTGCAGCTTGGTAAGGACCCGGCTCAGAGTCCCAGCCTGGGCCTGGTCACCGATCTGCTGTCATGGCAATGCAGGAAAAGAGGCTCAGGGGGAGGGATGGAGTGCATGTTAGACCCGGTCCTGACAGCACTAATGTACATCAGGTTGGTCCTTATATAATGTATGT